AAAATTTAGACAAAGGGCAATATGTAGAAATAAAGCACTTAAGCATTTTATTTGTTTATAATAGTTAAAGTAAATAAGAAGATACATTATAATCACAAACGAAGTGACAGACGGAGCGGCTCGAAAACTTTGGTGACTAACCTGCTATTTCAATTTTTCAGTGTACCACATGGCAACACCACTACTACTGGATTGTACCACATGGCAACACTACTACTGGATTGTACTAGCATTTTCACCAAATGTATTAGAATGTTTTGTTTCTATCTCTTTCACTCTACTCAAAACTGAAATGCATAAAAAAATGACAAAATGATACACTCTTTGCACACTGTCAAAGATCATATTGCACACAAAATCAACTATGTTGTGGCTGATGGCACAAGCTCTACAAGAAAATTCTATTACAGCGAACCACATTATTTTAATTGATTTCTTCGCCAGTTAGTCGTCTGTCACTTCGTTTGTGTTATAATGATATGCCGTGCTTTCCCGATTTAGTCTACCCTGATTTTGCAACGATTTCGGGGAAACCGGGAGAGACCTTAAATGATATTTTTGCGAACGCCCCTCGTCTATGAGCCTACCTCCAAATCAACACTTCGGTACCAACTGAACAAGCGAAAGCTGACAAAACGAGATCATGGAGAAGAACAAAGAGTGCTTATAACAATGCTGAATTGGTGTGACACGATGTCGAAAAAGATTATCTAAATTTATTTGTCTAATTTTTGTGTATATATTTACATTTAAACCTAAATTTGTTTGCATTTAAACCTAAATTTGTTCATGTACACATGCAGTGAGTTGAACAAATAACAGTTTTGTTTATTGAAGTGCTAATTAAAATGAAATTTATTATGCTAGAAATTGTTATAGGTTAAGTTGATTTGCACGCTGCCTTGAGCCGCCTCTAGACAGAAAAGAAAACTATAGTTATTCTGCACAAACCGGTAAATTTGTTAACTAAAAGTTTAATTTGAATATTTCCTAAATTTTATTAATTGTATTCAGGATTCCCTAAGTCTAGCATTACATAGATCCCATTCCGGGTTAAAAAATGAAAGAAGATTACAAAACTTAAGTTATAAGATCATAGTAAACATTGTATTTTAAAACGCATAATTTTTTTAGGAAACTTTAACGCAACACATAATAAATACGTTTAAAATTTCGGAGCTGACTTCTCTATTAGTTGCATAAGCAACAGGTATAGTTTGGTGAAATTGGGTTGTTAGCGGAATGCTTGAATAAAACATTATCATTACTTGTATTACATTGATTACTTCATTATGATGGCCACCAAGCCTTTGGGGATTCTCCTTATCAGAGAGTTTTAAAGATTTTTCTCCTTTGCTTTACTTAAATCTTTGGTTATTTTTAGTGCCGATTCTACGCGTTGTAGTTCATTTTTATACCTGTGATCTTGATATTTTTACCTAGTGGGTTTGATTTTGTAAAGTCGTTAGTGGGAATGACACTAATGAAAATTCCACATTATAGTCGAAATAGGTATCTGTCATGGATACCAAAATTAAATAAGTGGAATTAAATGCTGTTTGCTATTTTAGTTACAAACAATTCTGGAAAACCAGTTTATGACCTGCATTTTATCAGCTCAACAACTTTTTCCAAGACACTACGAAGTTATCTCTTTTAAACACTTATTCATGAATACATTCCTCATGGCCATTAACCGAAACGAGTTTGAACAGTTCTAATACACACGGCTGCAGTGACTAACTCAGAGAGAGAAGTCACTTTACTTAGTTTAAAAAAAAAAATAAAACCTGGGTTACTCAGTTGGTGAGTCAGTACTGAGTAGCTTCGGGTTTCGAGATTTTGCCATAGAATTGAGTAAAAGTGAATTTCTCACTGAATTAGTCACCGCAGCCGTGCGCAGGTTAATACCATAATGTATTATGGTTCCGCTAGCCTACGCATAGGCGTTACTGATTCACTTAGAAGGGGTCCGTTAAGTGTCGTTTGGCGATCGCTGCTCGGTACACGCTAATATAATTAAACTCAATTCAGATTAAATGGTGCGGTTCAATCCACGGGCTAATCATAACCAATGAAAACATATTTTGAGATTTTGGACCCCCTCTCCCACTGCGGGGACAGTCGCTTATACAATATTTTTTTTCGAAAATTAGTATGGACGTTGGATACATCACACTTAGAAAAAAATCATGTAAATTGAGGGCTATGAGACTGACACATACAAGCGTCAATTTTGACACAAATTTGAATCATAACAGACGTGAAATATAGCTCAATAAAACGTACTTATCGTCGAGCAACGAACTTTTCAGTCTCGGAGCACTTAATATTACATGACATGTTTGTTTACGTCTCATCTTTTATATCAAAGGTGGATTCCGGGACGTGTAAAATTAGTTATTTCTAAGTGTGTGGCCAATACTTCACTCCCTAAAAGTAAGTAGTTTACTGAACAGACCCTTATAGTGTTTGTAAGAAACTTAATGGTATTCTACGCTATGGTAGTTCTGAGGAGGCAGATGTGTAGCTGCCTATGTGGCTTTGTCATTAAGATAAGAATTTGTAAAAAATATGTGTCCAATTGATATTCCTCCTATTTGTTTATGGAAAGAAGATATTCATGCAATGAATAATTTATCAGAATTTAATCTTTCTAGTGAATTGGGGTCATTTTTAGCCTGGAAGCACAGTGTAAATTTGTTCAAATCAGTGTTGGAAAAATATCTCACCAACGCCCAAGATCACGCTTGATTTTCGTGGACAAAAATCAACAAGCAAATAACTGCGGTTGATTTTGCAAGCTGTGATATCGCAGCTCGGAATATCAAGCTAACAAAACTCACCAGCTGCAAATCTCAGCAAACTGTGGTGAGATTGAGTTTCATAATTTTTGCTTTACACCCGAATGCAACCGAAACTTCCATAACGGCTGGCAGCAGTCGCTTCGTGTCTGTCATCGGTGAAGAGTAAAAAAGATAGCATACTATACTTTCTCTTTCTAAGTAAACGATGTGCAACGAAATCATTTTTGTGTCGAGGCAACTCTCAGCTTGATTTTTGCACGTTGTGAATAGTCTCGCAATATCATAGGAGCTTGTAAAATCAATATCAACAAGCATGATATTTTGTTCCAATATCACGCGTGATATTGCGTGCACATGAGAGCGGAAAAATATCAATTGATTTCTGATTTTGCCAACACTGGTTCAAATGCATTAGTAAGGTTCAGGGTTGCTTCCACTCACGTGCTATCAAAAAACGTTTTTCGGAATTATAAAATCATTTAATGTCATTATGTTAGTTTGTTCTTGTAAGTTAAAATAAAAGGTTGTAAAGTATGTGTTTGGCACATGGAACCTGTCAATTTCGCTTTCAGAGAGTCACAATCAGCGATTTTATGATTCACTCAGAGTGAACACTCGCGAGTTCTAAAATCGTTGATTTTGACTATCTGAAAGCGAATTACAAAATTCTGAAAAATCATTTTTTATAGCAAGCAAGTCGAAGTAAGCTTGGTAGTGTTAAATACTCAGTTAGGGAATGTAAACTAAAGAGGAAAATCCAAATAACAATCAAGTGCTCTACTCGCCGTTTTTGTAATATACGTATATCATACGTACCTGGGAGAGAGAAGCAGATAGCACACATGGAATTCATTGTATACTTGTTCTTCTTGCCCTGAAAATTTGTGCCATTGAAATCAAATCAAAACAGCCGTAGGAAAATAGCGTGTTTTGCTTTGAGCGTGTAGTGATTGTTTGAGATTGTTCAGTGTGCAGTGAAAAACTGTTCTTTTGTGTTTGGTTTTTCATTATGCCACTAGATGTTTTGACAAAACCTTGGTTAATAGTATCTTACAATATTAACTTGTGTGTATTTTGAATCAATTAAAAAGAAACGGTGTCCCATTGAATAAAATAGCTGGAAACGACAGTAAGTCAAAAATTACTGTACGCAAGATTTCAATATCGCCTTGTGTATTCTTGTTCAACTGTAAGAAAAGCATCATAAAATTGCTTGGCTCCCAATGATAGTTCGTGACAGCAGCCGTCTGGCTGCATTTGACGTTCAATTTTTCTCTCTTCGCGACTCTCGCTCAGAAACGTAACATACGTTTAGTATGAAATCAGAAGCACTAATTTAGCTAATATATCAGCCTTAGATTGCAAAAAGCGCAATAAGCAAGCTTTTTGATAATTGCGGTTAAACAGACAAATTCAAATGAGGCTGCGTTTGTATCACGGGACTGACATCAAATGTTTCCACTATAGGATATCACAAATTTAATACAGTAATAAGTAGACTTACCAATGTTGGTTCAAATCAGAAACGGTCGATGCCTTTTTGTGGGCACTGCATTTACTCAAACGGAAGGGGAATAGATTCTATGACGGGATTTTTATATACGATGGAGAAGCACTGGATGAAGCCCTGCCCCAAGTAGAAGGACCGAAAGCAGCCAGAGAAACAACAACAGGACGGTGCACGAAGCAGAACATTCCAAAAATACGACCAGGATGAATATCGGAGATGACTAGCAGTACGTACTCAGGTGTGGTAGCTGAAGGTGCTTTAGCGAAAGCGATTGAAGTGCTCAATGAAGAAGTGATGACAATTATCGTGATGACCCCAGGAGGCCAGACAGAACAGAAGTCAAGAACTTGTGTTTGATTACGGAAGATTACATCATCAATGTATTGAAGAGAAAAAGAACGGAAGATAGTAGAAAGTTGCTGGCTATCAGCAAGCAGTCACCACTCAGTAAAAATAACTATTATTAACATTAATATAATCAAGAAAATTATAAAATAATTATAATAAACAAACCAAATGGTCGAAACAGACGACCATAACAGGAAAGTGAGTTGAAATTCTCGAAGCTGCAGAAAACATCAACGGAACCTCTAAAGAATTTCATTGTGCTTCACCAGAAGATCATAGAACCAAATTTTAGTATAATAATTTCTTATTACATTTATTAAAAAAAAGTCGCAATTTTAACTGTATTTACACCTCTCGAAAGCATTCTCGCCGAACGAGTCAACCCATCCGGCGTCATAAATTACAAAAGTTTACATTTGATCACCATTTTGCTCATTTTTAACCTTAATTTTTATGTCACACATTTGTATCAGATTTCCCTCCTACTATCAGTAAAACTCCAATTTCCTGTTGTTTTAGCGCTTATTTGCATTCACCCTATCACGGGAATAACACCTCCTCGGGGAACCTTTCCAGGATCTTATTTCCCGTCGTCTTGAATATCCTCTGCAGGGCTTTTTCGATCAGCGGGATCAGCTCGTGGCTCAGCAGGGCGAAGTTTTGATTGATTGTCTGATTGATGATTTCGCCTAAAATGTACAATTGGAACCCATTTTAGTTTGTGCCTCTTCCATTCAAACAACAAATGCTACTTTCTCACCTAGAACTCGATCTCCACCGAACAGGTTTTCCAGCTTGATTTTACCGTCACCAACCTTGATCTTGATGTCCAGCTTGGCAAGCGAGAGATGGTTCCTACCATTGATCACCTTTCGGTCTCCCTTGATGCGCACGTTGCCGAATCCCTGGGCTGCGGTTATGAATTAGTTAGGGTTAGAGCTTTAAATGATGAAGGGAAACCATTTTTCAAAATAATTACTGAAGTTTCCGGTGAACTTTCCGGCTCCCTTCACCGGTAGCAGTAGGATTCTGCCGTCCACTACGTATCGACCCTCGACGTACAGGTGGGGAAGTTCCAGCTCGAAGGTGTACACTTTGCCGTACTCGACAACACTGCAATGGGTTGTAATCGTTAGTATGGGGCCTTAGAGTTGTGCAACAGAAGAACAGAGGAGAAGGGAATTAAAGCAACAAGTAGTGATTCGGTATTCACTTAAGTTTCTTCAGTCGGAAGTTGCCCGGCCCATAGGCTTTGATGTCCTTGGCGGTGATGCTAATTCCCTGACCAGGAACGCTTTCAGCCACAATCAGATCGCCCAGGTTGATCGGTTCGATGGCGGGAATGTCCAGCTCCGGAATGCCACGGGCCAGGTACGGTCGCAGTGTTTCGATCGATTCCTTCATGCACTCGGTTAGCTTCGGGTCGTCCCGGTGACAGACGTGTAGGTATTCGGCTGAAGTTGGTTTGAAGGAAGCAGTTGGGTTAAATTTCTCTTTCTTGATTTTACAACGGCTTGATTAGATGCAACTTACGAAGATCCAGTGATCGTACAGTGTCTATGGAGAATAACACCATCAGGGTCCAGGATAACGGTGATGTCCACATGTTGCGATCTGAGAGAAGGATATTGGAAGGAAAGACGTAGTTAACATGGAAGTAAGGTTGGGCCGATTTTAAGAAAGTCATTCACCACGGAAACGCATTGAAATTGCAATATTGATGGCTGTCGGGTAAGTTACCCAATAGTGAAGGAACTAACTTGGTTTATTTATATCAGATCAAATAAGCATTCCTCCTAGCAAATCAGCAATCCAACTACTTACATTTACTTTTTATTTAACGGTATTTCTATAGTTGCTATATTTGATACTTAGTGTTCCTAAAGCTGCTGTACCGACCAAGGGGTGGTCACTCTACACAATTATTTTGCGCCAACATTTATCTCAGTGTGCCTCAAGTGAGCCGCGCTGTGTCGAGAGTGCCAATCATCGGACTGACTTTGTTTGTGAATAATTGTATGTTTGGCAACCCGGTACTTTTCTTGTTTTAGTATGTCAAACCAAGGAAGACAATGGTCAGGTCAACGCCAGATCAACAGTCACGACATTCGGCCATTGGAACGTTTCCGATTCCGTGTGGACTGGATTCATTGCGATGGCAACGTGATCGACATAATGTACGCAATTTAGAATCAGACGCTTCCGTGCGGGAGGAAGGTCTACTGCAGTGCTGCCCAACGACAGCAATGATATCATTCTGGCCTAATTGTATTCATTATTATGATTTTTAGCTCACAATTAATGAAACATATACAAAATACAGCTTTAAACATGTCCATCGAATGTAGATACAGCCATTTAAAAAAAAAAACTGTTTGGAAAGGTTGGGCAGGCCTGGTTTACGGCATCTGGGAAAGCCGGAATACGGATTAATCGTACAAAAATCTGGAGGATGCGGATTGGCATCAGAATCTGACGTTGACGTTTTTGACGTGATTAGTACGGTGGACATTTTGTTTTGGCAGGCCAGCAAGGATACTGTTGCTGCGCAGCACTCGGATCGGCCCGTTTCGTCTCTCTTGTGTCGCATTGCGATGAAGATTTGATCCACGAAGAGTACAGATAATTGGGGCCTCCCTTAGCTCAGTCGGCATTCGGTCCGGTCCGGTCTAGGAATTTTTCGGTTTGGAAAATTTCTCGACTGCCCTGGGCATAGAGTATGATTGTACATGCCACACAATTATACTAATGCAAAAATGGTACAGACATCGAAAGCTCTCAATTAATAACTGTGGAAGTGCATCTAGAACACTAATAGCGAATTCGTTTATTATCGGGGTGGGAACTAGTTCCAACCCAGTGCGAAACCGAACTTTTTATCAGTGCGAAACTCAACCTGAGCTGGGTTTTAAAAACAAACGATCGAACTGACGTTTGTCAAAAAACAAGCAGGCCCAATCTTGATACCCGATCCAGGTTGGAACTGAATAATAAACGAATTCGCTATAAGTTGAGAGCACGCAATAAGCTAATAATGCCATACGCAATAAGCTTGAAAATGCGAAGAAGAAGAAGAAGAAGAAGAGTACAGATAATATTACACGCTGGTGTAGCACATCGGAAAGGGCGCGTACGGGTATCTGAAGCTGAGCTACCGCAACTCGGATGATATCGAAGTTCATACTGAAGGAGAAGCTTGTGTCGCAGTTTATGATTAAGACCGAGGAGAAGCGGAAAATTCCGATAAAAGTGTACCTGTCGACGCACGTGAAGTATCCAAATATTGTCAACATTGGCTCGATTGGCTCGAGCACGACAAATTCTAGCAGGTAGGTTGTGATGGAAATCCACAACCTCGTAATTACCGAGAAGCTGGATTGTTGGATCTTTCGACAGATTGCTAAGGTGATTGCTTTCCTGCACTCGTTCGCACTTAAAAATTATTCTCGAGCTCGGCAATATTTATAACCGAGCCAACACGGCATCATCATAATTTACTGAGAATTCAGCAAAAAAAAAAACAGTTTTAGTCGAGATCCAGCACCACTGCGAACTGAAATCTTGGCATACTTCATATATTTTCCGAAATTCGGCTACACGTAACCGCAAACGATGATTTCGCTGATCTCGGTAATGTGATATGCCGAGATTTCGTTTTAGCATCGATTGTGTACCGAGATTCAGTATTTCAGTTTTCATCCGCCATTTCCAAAGCGCTAAAAATATTTGAGAGTTCGGAAGCCTCTTGAAAAAAAAATAAAACTGTGTAGTGTCTGTTGTGTACAGTGCAAGTGGCTCAACATATGGAACCGATCCTTTGAGCGCTTCAGCAGGATGATGTAACATTGCACAGTGGTCCAGAATGCAGATTTAGGTGGAATGATATGTTTTGAGCCTGAAATTGAAACTTTAGACTAAAAGTCTCTTCTACAAAGTTGTTCCTTATAGTTATGCCCTCATTTTTATGACAATATTCCTGGGTGGTTCCTATTATCATTAAAATCAAAAATCTAACTTATTTGTTTGAATAAATTAAGGTATACATTCTTCGGCAAAGATGTATAGCTGAGCTAATTTCAAGCAACTTTGTTGAAAACAACTTTTTTGTATCTCTTAAATTGGCCGATTTAGAGCTATTTTCTTCAATTGAGTTAGGGTGGCTCTAAAAAAAAAACAGTTGTTTTGCTCTAGTTTTCTTATTTCGAATTTCTCAGCAAAGGTGTCTTCAAATAACTTTTAGATCTTAAGGCGCAAATTTTCGCTGCACAAAGCTTGTCAATACCTTTCGCCGATCAAGAGTTATTGACGTTTTTATACTAAATATATGCACTTTTCAAATGTTAATATCTCTGGTTGGGGCAAACAAAAGAAAAAGTTTTTCTACGGCATTTGAAAGGGCGTATGTTATTCTCAATAATATGAAAAAATTGGAGGCATGTTATTTTTTAAACTCGTATAAAATCAATTTGAATTTATTCATATTTTTTACTATATTCGGGTACATCTTTTTTGTTAGAAGAGATACAGGCAACAAATTTGGGTATAAAACATTCGTCTTAAAGAGTTTTAAAAGTCTCTAGGAGATGACTTTCATGAGAAATTTCAAATAAAAAAGTTATTGACAAAAGATGGATTTCATAAAAACACTCTAATGACAAATTTAAATAAAATGTGCTAGTACATTTGTTTCAATAGTTGGACATTTAGTGTCTTCGAAGAAGTTTTTGTTCTTAAAAATTCCTTTCTTTTGGTGTTTGCAAACGTCAGGGTGGTCCTCAAATTAGGGAATTTTCAAAACTAACTTTTTTGTTTTATAAAATAAAAACATGTGTTGTTTGAAAAAGTTGTTGCTTTGTTTATTGTGAGCAACATTGCCGAATTTTTTTTCTTCTATCTCTTAACTTTCAAATTTGCGCCTTCTTAAGATCTAATAGTTATTTGAAGACACCTTTGCTGAGAAATTCGAAATAAGAGAACTAGAGCAAAATAAGCAAAAGAGCCACCAAAACTCAATTCAAGAAAATAGCTCTAAATCGGCCAATTGAAGGGATACAAAAAAGTTGTTTTCAACAAAGTTGCTTGAAATTAGCTCAGCATGTATACCTTAATTTACTCAAACAAATAAGTTAGATTTTTGATTTTAATGATAATAGGAACCACCCTAGAATTCATTGTCATAAAAATGAGGGCATATCTATAAGGAACAACTTTGTAGAAGAGACTTTTAGTCTAAAGTTTAAATTTCAGTCTCAAAACATATCATTCCACCTAAATCTGCATTCTGCACCACTGTGCATTGTACGAAATCTTCGGTAAGTATAATTTCAATACGTTTTTGCATATTTTGCTTCAGCCATCGAAGCATTGATTTTTAAATATTTAATGCCAACAATTTATTTGCCGAGCTCATTGCCAAGCACTCTCACGGCGAATGAGAACGACCCAAATTTGAGTTTAGTTCACTCATAATCGCCAAAAGTGCAGGAACTCAGCGATGAGTAAATTTGCCTCATGTTTTCCCAGGTTTTTTTTTCAGATTCACTCAGTCTATTGGTATTACTCCGAGACTGAATAAAATTTTCGTCAATTTCCTCATTTTCCGGCAGATTTGTTAGGTTTTCCACAAGAAACCATGAGACAAATTTAACTCATCACTGAGTTCCTGCACTTTTGGCGATTATGAGTGAACTAAACTGAAATTTGGGTCGTTCTCATTCGCCGTGAAGGAATTATGTTAGTAGGGAAGGTAAGCCATAGGATACACCCAGTCAGTGTTGCTAGCAAATGTAAAGTCTGGAACGCGCAAAAACTAGTCAACTTCAAATTGGTGTATTTCTGTTAAAACGCATTAAAAAAAAAACTGAAATGCTGCATTTGGAAGTTAAGTGTATATACAATGGTTGCTATGATGAGTTTTCACCGGTTGCTCTCCAGTTTTCAAAATGACGTCCAAGCAAGAGGAGCAGCGTTTCAAAATTTTGCTCACGCAACAAGAGATTCTTACACGCCAAGTTGGTTAAATTGCTGGATATGGCAAAATCGACCGTGACAAACGTTTTAAAAGTATTCGAAGAGCATCTGTTGACCGCCAGGAAGCCTGGAAGTGGCGGCAATCGTAATCCGGAAGTGGCAGCGACGACGAAGAAGGTGGCGGTGAAATATAAGCGGAATCCTAACCTCTCCATGCAAGACGTCACTGGCAAGCTCAATGTCTCCCATACTACTGTGCAGCGGGCCAATAAATGAGCCGGGTTGTCGACGTTTAAGAAGGTGAAGGTGGCGAACCGAGATTACAAACAAAACACGTCGTCTCGTCAAAGCAGTGGTCCCGAATACTGTATACGAATCTGCTCACAAAGTTCGACTGTGTTGTCATGGACGACGAAACTTCTGTGAAGGCGGATTTCAAGCAGCTTCCGGGACAGGATTTTATACCGCATCAGGAAAAGTGAAGATGGCTTAAATTTTCAAAACCATCAAACTATCGAAGTTCCCGAGAAAATATCTCGTCTGGCAGGCCATACGCATGTGTGGTCTAAAATGCGGCATTTTCTTTACTACAGGAACCATCAATCAAGAGATCTACGTCCAGGAGTGCCTGGAAAAGCGTCTGC